TTGATGAATAGAGAAATGCATTAATATGTGTCTTTTAGATCTGTCTGGAGTTTAGCTTTAGCTTTTTAAATGGCAGAAGGTAAGTGAAGGATTTGGAGGACTGCATGCTATTAAAAAAATTCAAGTTTGACATACCAGCTTTAAAGATAAAATGTGCAAACCTGTAAAGGAAATAGCATAATTAAAATATGGAACGATACATTGAAAGTCACATCTAAATTATTTTCATATATTTGTCATATGCACAGAAAACACATAGCAATATTCTTTTAATACATAATTGTAAAAATGATACATTAATTTAAATATTATATTTTATGTTTTTTATTCACTATAAATAAATCGAAATTATTTTTCTGTTAGTGGGTTACTTCTATGACATACCTGTTTATCACTTTATTATATAAGTTCACAGAGTGTCATTGTAATAATGTACAATTAATAGGGGTTACAGCATTGTGTTTGCATGACTACTGATCTGGCAACTTAATTAATATAATAATATTCATATCTGTCTGAAATCATTCTCTTGAAAACAACAACCAGTGACTGTGTGAATATAATAAGGCCTGAGAGTGAAACTGTCAGTTGGAATATCATTCTATAAGAGCTGGTGTTAAGAGTGTAGCTATCACTTGTGTCTTGGCCCCAAACCCTCTATGTGACCCCTGTTCCCATTTATAGCTGCATCCTTGACAACAATCTTGTACACTTTTTTTTTTGTGAAACAACCTCTGCTATTTGCAGATCCTACTGAATAGGCCTGACTGAAAGGACTATCCTTGTGCTGTTAGTAAAGAAGGCCATGTGTTTTGTCTGCAATAACCTTTCGGTCTATATAAAGTTAAATATTCACACTTAGGAAGCTGCAGGAATTGACTTTGGAAACAAAGAGAATAGGATGCTTTGTGTTGGCTTGACACATGTTGGTTGAACCAGATGGATTTTTTTCATCCAGATTAACTATATACTAGGCAACATACAAGAGCTAGATAATAAATGACCTATAGAACACATGCACAATTTGCATGGTTATTTCTTAAAACAAGCAGCAAAAGATACCTTTTATCATATATGTATTTTAAAGCGAAACTATACTGTATCTCAGCACCACAAACAAAAAACACTAGTTAATTCATTTTTAACAGGTTCCTGCCCGACCTATAGCCAGATGGCAGCCGGCAAAACACCTCATCCCTCCGGGTGGACACCTTATGGCGTCCTTTCAGGCATGCGCAGTTTGCCTGTCTGCAGAGCCGCACAGCGGCTCGATCTGTCATTGGCCGTGTACCTCGGACGCGGCCGATGACAGATCTGTGTACCGGCCCTGTTGCCAGTACGACGAGACCTGCTGTGACCAATCACAATAGGTCACATGACAGTTGTATACAATGGATGGCTTCCTTTTATGCCATCCATTATATACAAGTGTGGCAAGCTGTAAATGGTCACAGCGATCACATGCACAAGCTGGGCTAATCACAGCCCAGCTGTGTCATGTGATTAGCTGTGGCCAAATCACAGTTGCGAAAAAAAAAAAAATCCTGAATGAATCGATTTCATTCAGGTAAATGATTGCTTATAGCAAAGTAATTCTTTGCTATAAGCAAATTGTGTAAAAAAACAAAAAACAAAATACTGACCACTTCCCCAAAGTAGTACAATGTTACTATGGTAACATTATACTACTTTGGTCATAGTGAAATATGAAAAACAAATCTTAAAAAAGAGAAACAATGTAATAAAAAAGAGAAAAAATTATTTTTTTTCATACTGTCACCAGTCATTGTCCCTGTTCACCGTCATGCCAGTTATATGATGACGCTGTACTGCACTGGTGACAGTATGTAAAAAAAAAAAATAGTGAAAATCATTTTTTTTATTTCTTCATTTCTGAAAAATTATGACAAAAAAATTACAACTTCATAAACTCGCCATGCCATGCCTGTTAAGAAATATGTTGGACTTTCTACTTTGCAAAAAGGGGTCACTTGGGGGATATCTGTACTGTTCTGACATTCTTGGAGCTCAAGAAATTAGATTGGCCGTCAGTATTTCAGATATATCCCATAGTTTGTGAACTCTATAACTTTCCTACAGACTAAATAATAAATATTAATTTGGGTTATTTTCACCAAGGACATGTAGTAGAATACATTTTGGTCTAAATTTATGAAGAATGATTATTTATTTGCAAACTTTTATACCAGAAATAAAGAAAAACGTGTTTTTTTTCAAAAAGTTTGGTCTTTTTTTGTTAATTTAGCAAAAAATAAAAACCCCAGCGGTGATTAAATACTACCAAAAGAAAGCCATAGTTGTCTGAAGAAAATGATAAAAATTGTCATTCAAAGTGTGAGAGTGCTGAAACCTGAAAAATGACCTGGGCAGGAAGGGGGTAAAAGTGCCCTATATGGAAGTGGTTAATATACAAAGCAAACTACCCCATCCACCCATGTTTCCATTCGTTATTGTACTGAGAAATCACTTTGAAAACACCCCATAGCATTATTAGCCAGGCCCATATTGAGTAAGGGTAGACGATTCATGTAGTATTTACTTGGAATCCATCTGCCCTTAGCTCCAGCATGCGTACAGGAGAGTGTGATTAGCTGAGAAAACCCCTCCTTTCCTCCTGAAGACTCCTGGGATGCTTGACATAATTTGTGCAGGCATTAAAACTAGGAAGTAACTAAAGAAATGTAAAAACCTGTTTCAAACAAGTAAATTTGATATAGTTTCCTAGCATAAGGATTAAAAATAGTCAATGTTGATTGAAAGAGTGAAGTTCTGCTTTAATTATTGATAAACAGTAGCACAGTGTACATACTAATAGTAAGTCTGAGGATGCTTTTCATATTAGTTTGATATTTGTGGGAAAATAGCCCGATCTCCCTTGAAAAAATAGCACAGAAAGCAGACATCAATAAGAAAAACAATCATGTAATTCCATACTTCATCCCACATTTATGGGCAAATGTTACATGGGTACATTTTAGTGGCTAATTTGCCCTCCTAAAATCTCATTGAATTGATGATCCTTTTTGCCAGGACTGGATGACTTGTAAAGTAAGCTTCTCAATAAGACACTCCCAGAACCTTGAGTGAATGATCTCCTATGATATCCTACTACTAATTGCATTACATAAACTATTAGCAATTAATTTCCCTTCTTCTTCATACCAACTGAAATGGAAACAGGAAATTAAGTGTTCATCAAGCACTCATTTGGGATATTGTTTGGTGAATTTTGAGCATTTGAGTATATGCTGTAAGATTCATTTTATAAGAACATTTGCCCAACAATCATCTGCAGTAAAACAGTAGTGATTTATTTTTTTTGCATAAGGTGTTTTTTTTTAATCTCAAATAAAAAAACTGCCCGTGTAGCTCTAGCCTTAAAAGTCATACATAGTTTTGTTTTTTTCTATCATGCATTAAAATGCAAGGAACAACACTGTTGTTTAGCAGTTTCATATGCATGAGTGCACATTGTTCAATCTAAATCCCTTGTTTATTTATTTGCAGTGCATATAAACTACATGTAGGTTAAAAACAGTTTTTTTTTTAGTTTTTCACATGCAAGCACAATACTGAGCTGAGTTAAAAGGTTAAAACCATTTTTTTTATTTTTTCACATGCAAGTACAATACTGAGCTGAGTGACATACTATAGGACTGATTTGTTTTTTGTAATTCAAGCTCTTCTTTTTGTCCTTCATATAGACTAGTTTCTTGACAAATTAAACATTCTGGCCATTACTAAAACACCTTAGTTAGCTGTAAAATCATATATCATATATCCGATGAAGGGGTCCTGTACGGCCCTGAAAAGTTGCAATTTTTGCTGTAATGTGCTCACTCACATTTTTGGAGACTATTTTGAAGATACAGTATATGGTGTGCTGGCAATATATGCTTCAGTTCAACTTGAGTTGATTCCCATTGCTACAGCACCCAATTACTTCAAGCCATATCCAGGAATGTGTCTGGCAATATCCTTCATATTTCCCTTTAAAATACAATCTATTGAAATGATCTGACAAAAAGTGAAACTACTCTTTCTTAGAATAAATAATAACCTGTTTGGTTAAAAATAACAAAAATGTAAAACTGTCATAAAACTATGAAGAGCTCTTCATAATTTTATGACAGTTTTACATTTTTTGTTATTTTTAACCAAGCAGGTTATTATTTTACAAAGCTTTAACAAAGATAAGGATCTTAATTTTAGTCATGTGGCTATAGTTTTCAAATCTAATTAAAGTTTGTTGAAGTTTGTTGTGAAATAAAGCTGGCCAAAGATGATTTGAACCATGTATGGACAGGCTGAATGTACCCAAGTTGATCGATTGTTCGATGAACCAGCCTACCGGATTCTACATGCGATTATTTCTCACGTCTGTTATAGTTGACGAACACAATGGCTCCACGTGTGGGATTCCTGTATCAACCATGTTAACTCCTTCACACTGACAGTACGCAAATTAGTGCGGTGCTGCTAATTTGCATACCTGTCTTTCTGCTGCCAGCACTCCATACAGAGATCGAGGTCTCACTGAAAGCCCTCGCTCCCGTTCTAACGATCAGGACCTGGAACTCCCGATTCTGGGTCACCTGATCGCTGTGATAGCCTCTGATTGGCGATCACAGTGATCAGTCACTCTGAAGCCTGCCCCTGTGTTTTCTCTCTCTCTGAATGGAGGAGAGAGATACATTGTATCTCTCTCTGTCCTTTCAGAAAGAAAAATAAATAAATACAAATAATAAATAACCACCTTCCGCCCGCCATACAGTACAATGCCAGGCGCAAGGTGGTTCTTTCATTCTGATAGGACGTCATATGACGTCCTTCCATTCTCATCACGCATGCGCGGCTCAGGGAGTGCGCAGCATGGCGATCGCCGATGCGCTGTGTCCCTCGGACACAGCAGATCACGGATCACGGAAAGAGCCGAAGATGTCGGCTTGGTCATGTGATCAGCTGTGTCCAATCACAGCTGATCACATGTAAACACAGAAATGCCGGTTATCGGTGTTTCTCTCCTCTCGAGCTGTCACACTGACAGCTCGAGAGGAGAGGAAAACAGATAATCTGCATTCTGCGGAGGGGACATGTACACTGATCATCAGGGCACTGATGATCAGTGTGCCCTGATGATCAGTGTGGCCCCAGAAGTGCCACCTGTCAGTGTCCATCAGTGCCAGCAGTCAGTGCTCATCAATGCCACATACCAGTGCACATCAATGCCACATATCAGTGCCCATCTGAGCTGCCTTTCAATGTCACCCATCAGTGCCAGTCAGTGCCACCTATCAATGCCAATCAGTGCCACCTATCCATGCCAGTCAGTGTCACCTATCAGTGCTGCCAATCAGTGCCACCTATCCGTGCCAGTCAGTGTCACCTATCAGTGCTAGTCAGTGCCACCTAACAGTGTCAGTCAGTGCCAGCTATCAGTGCCAGTCAGTGCTGCCTAACAGTGCCAGTCAGTGCCGCCTATCAGTGCCAGTCAGTGCCATATATCAGTTTCATGTATCAGTGCTGCCTTTCAGTGCCCATCCGTGATGCCTGTCAATGCCCATCAGTGCAACCTACCAGTGCCACCCATCAGTGCCCATCACTGCAGCCTCATTAGCGCACATCAGTGAAGGAGAAAAATCACATATTTACAAAATTGTATAACAAAAACTAAGAAAAACCTTTTTTTTTTCAAAATTTTCAGTGGTTTTTGGTTTGTTTAAGAAAAAAACAAAAATCCCAGAGGTGATTAAATACCATCAAAAGAAATCTCTATCTGTCTAAAAAAAATGATAAAAATTTCATATGGGTACAGTGTTGCATGACAATTAGAGATGAGCGAATTATTCAAAAATTCGATTCGGCTGATTCGCCGAATTTGCGGGAGTAATTAGATTCGATGCAAATTTATTCCCTGCGAATTTAACTTATTAAAAGGGTTTCTAGGCTTCAGAGAGCCTTTATATTAGTGCAGAGAACACTGTACCTTTAATTTAAATGCCCTTGGAGTCTGCTGGGGAAGAGAAATAATACTGTCAGTCAGTATGACATGCAGATGAGTGCCGTCGATCTTAGAATCACCGCACACTTCACTCATTTGGGCAGTCACGGGGCACGACGAAGAAGAAGAAGAATGAAAAGAAGAATGAAAAGAAGAAGAAGAAGAATGAAAAGAAGAAGAAGAATGAAAAGAAGAAGAATGAAAAGAAGAAGACTGAAAAGAAGAAGAAGAAGAATGAAAAGAAGAATGAGAAGAATGAAAAGAAGAAGAAGAAGAATGAAAAGAAGAATGAAAAGAAGAAGAAGAATGAACAGAAGAATGAAAAGAAGAAGAAGAAGAATGAAAAGAAGAAGAATGAAAAGAAGAATGAAAAGAAGAAGAAGAAGAAGAATGAAAAGAAGAATGAAAAGAAGAAGAAGAATGAAAAGAAGAAGAAGAAGAATGAAAAGAAGAATGAAAAGAAGAAGAAGAAGAATGAAAAGAAGAATGAAAAGAAGAAGAAGAAGAATGAAAAGAAGAAGAAGAATGAAAAGAAGAAGAAGAAGAATGAAAAGAAGAATGAGAAGAAGAATGAAAAGAAGAATGAAAAGAAGAATGAAAAGAAGAAGAAGAATGAAAAGAAGAAGAAGAATAATGAAAAGAAGAAGAATGAAAAGAAGAAGAATGAAAAGAAGAATGAAAAGAAGAAGAAGAAGAATGAAAAGAAGAGGAAGAAGAATGAAAAGAAGAATGAGAAGAAGAAGAATGAAAAGAAGAAGAAGAAGAATGAAAAGAAGAATGAAAAGAAGAAGAAGAAGAATGAATGAAAAGTAGAAGAAGAAGAATGAAAAGAAGAAGAAGAATGAAAAGAAGAAGAAGAATGAAAAGAAGAATGAGAAGAAGAATGAAAAGACGAATGAAAAGAAGAATGAGAAGAATGAAAAGAAGAATGAAAAGAAGAAGAAGAGGAATGAAAAGAAGAAGAAGAAGAATGAAAAGAAGAATGAAAAGAAGAAGAAGAAGAATGAAAAGAAGTAGAAGAAGAATGAAAAGAAGAAGAAGAATGAAAAGAAGAATGAAAAGAAGAAGAAGAATGAAAAGAAGAAGAAGAAGAATGAAAAGAAGAAGAAGAATGAAAAGAAGAAGAAGAAGAAGAAGAATGAAAAGAAGAAGAAGAATGAAAAGAAGAAGAATTCCAGTACAGCAAAAAGTGTATCTGCAGAGAGCTCAGCTATTTCTGACAGTTCTCTGACAGTTCCTTCACATTTACAGCGGTTGAAACATTGTATCTATTTGTTTCCGAATAAAAACATCTGTATCCTAAATGGAAACAAATAGATACAATGTTTCAACCGCTGTAAATGTGAAGGAACTGTCAGAGAACTGTCAGAAATAGCGGAGCTCTCTGCAGTGACACTTTTTGCCGGCTGATCGGGGAAAATTCGATTCGTGCATCCGAAGTTTGCTAAAATTCGGATTCGGTGCGAATCGAATTTTTCCTAATATTTGAAACGAATTCCACTTCGCCAAGTTCGATTCGCTCATCTCTAATGACAATGCAATTGTCATTCAAAGTGTGACAGCCCTGAAAGCTGGAAATTGGCAGGGGCAGCAAGGGGGTATAAGTGTCCTGTAGGCTAGTGGTTAAAGAAAAAAAAATACTTTTATCTAGGTCACTGCCAGGGTTAGTGTTTGGGTCAGGGTCAAAGGTTAACGTTAGGGTCAAAGGTAAGGGTCAGTATTTTTTGGGAGGGTCAGGATTTTTTTTTACTTTTTTAAATTAGTATTAGTGTCAATGGCAGGATAAAAAAAAAATGTGAACTATTGTGTGTGGCCCAAACAAACAACTAACATACACAAATGAGGTATCACTGTGATCATCAGGAGCAGGAGAAATTTTTCAAAGAAGTTGTTCTTTGGTGGTAGATTATGGTAGTAACAAGAAATATACAGCTAAATTATTTTTTTTTTACAATTTTGAGCCAGTTTTTCTGTGATAATAGAAAAATATCAGGAGATATCCATTACCATTTCCCACCAAATGAAACCCCAATTTATCCTGAAAAAGGCAAAATCCACCTGGATGCACAAAGTAGTTGTGCTGATACGTACGGCTTTGCTAACACATGTCAAAGTTGCAAAATTGTGCTTAGGTGTTAAGATTTGTTTTACCCTTAGGCGCAAAAGGGTTAACTTTCCTGTGGCTGCAGGAAAGAAATTCACTCCACCTATTGAGAGCCTAACTGTCACTTAAAAAAAAATCCTTATCCTAGTGTGTTAGCATTGTATGCACAATATAGTGCAATGGCCTGTCATCCGTTACTCCTCAGATTCATTTTAATTTGATTTGATTGAAATCTCCCATTGAGAAAGGTGAAATATAAGGTTTTACTTAAAGTGGAACTTTAGTCAGAAAATTAAATCCTGATAGACCACTTCAGGCTGGCCACTTTTGCAGGTATAGCTATGTAAAACATTAAAAATACATGGCTATACTGTTTCAAATCCAGTAAGGCAATGTCTCAGCCTGCTTTGCACATGCACAGTTGCTTCCTATTTTTGGCACTGTGCCTAAAATCAGTGAGTCATTAGAGGCCAATATGCTGACATCCCTGCTGCTAAAGGAGGGAGAGGAGTGGAAGCATTAGGAAGGACACAGGCTATGCTGGAGAAAAACAGATTAGAGAGGGAGGAAAGAAGAGCAGCATAGGTGAAAGGACAAACTCTGCTGGGGAGACACAAAAGAGTTAAACTTACAAAGATAGTGCTTTATCTTTGCTCTCTTATTTTCTCTGCTTTCTCCCTCAGCAGTGGCAGTACTATGAGACTGAGCACTAAAATCTTCTGTTAGCCTTCCCCTGAGCCTAGACATGCAATAAAGGCTTGAAAAGCACACATTTTAATTCAGAAAGTGACATGTAGTTTTTGAGACTGAGAAGAGGAAGAGATTTCAATAAGGAAGTGACTGCTCTGGATTATAACAAAATGGTGGTCTCCAGCAAGAAGAAACAGGATCAATTCTGGAGGCAATTTATGGCACACAAAATTTTGGTAGCATAATTATTAGCATGGAATGTATGTTCTTTTGTTAAAGAACATCAAACTATTATGGGTAAAGTTCTCAAACCATTGTGGGTAAAGTTCTCAAACCATTATGGGTAAAGTTCCACTTTAAGCTTGCTGGTTCAGAACAAAGTCTACGTGACTACAGAGAGGTACAATGCTTGTTAGTTACAATGGTGCTGAAGTAGGACAATTAACTGTTTCATGACATAGCAACATCATCCCCATGTAAGCTTGCTACAGTTCTCTGAAAAAATCCCTTTGGTCTGAAGCAACCATAGCTGACAAGCACAATTTTCCACATATTAATTTCTATGAGGTCCTTTGCTTCCATATATTAGAATTCTGTCACTGCAGATGTAAGCAACTTCACTAGGCAAATACTTTATTTTCTGTAGCCATTTCTAATAGACCGTCCCCCTCCTTTGTAGATTTCCCCTCTCTTATCACATCTAAAATCAGCCATGTTCTTGCTATACCAAGCTACTGACACCAAATAAAAGATTTATCTTTCCAACAGCAACAAACAACTTGCTACTACTTTTTGTGCCTCATTAGTAAATTCCTGGACTTGAAATGTAGGTCTCTGGCTGCAACAATATTTATTGCAATGCTTTTTTCTGTTGCCTTTGATAAACATTTTTCATGCATGCTATAAATTGTTTTAAATTAAAATTTAAACTTTTATATAAAGAAGACCTATAGTTTGATAAACATCTAATTAGAAAATAAGAATCTATATAAAACAATACGCTTTCTATGCCATGAAAAATGAATACCTTATAATCTATGACATATTCTTGAATAAATAAGTAATGCCAACCTTGTTGTTTTGAATAATAGGGCTTTAAAAAGTTTATGGCTTTCTGGACACATTTTGAGTACAAATAGAAGAATCTTTTGTTTACTTTTTTCTTTTTTTATGTTCAGTTAATTTTCATTCTTGATAACACAATGTTAGTACATAAAAATAATGTTCTGTATCCCTGTGTTCCTTTTAGACTCTCCTTTAGCTGCTGTGGCAGATATTTTAATACATACACGATGTATAAAAATTGTGCTGAGAAAATGCTGATTTGTACTGCTTTTTTATCACTTGATATGAAACAACATAAATTTTTGTTGCACAGAATGCTGAGAAAAGGAACATCCCTTGAATGTACGCCCTGCAGAAATTTGATGTCTTCAGTGTCAAAGTGTGATAATACTAATAAAAAAAATCAATGTTCAAGAGTCTTTTGAGGTAGACATATAATCTCTAGCAAATAGTAAACATAACAGGCAAGTTATTTATATAAAGAAGTATAACATTTATAGACA